GGTGCGTCAGCAGCAATGAGCACACCACAAGAAGGACATCATGACGCATCGAAGAGCCAGCCATCTGTCTGTGCGTGTGTCAGAAGTGCTGCCCTCTGCCGAGAGCCCCCAAGCGTCTGGATCGGCATCAGCTGCCGCCGCCGCTGCGGCCATCGCGCCCCCCGCGCCCCCGTGTCTGCCCCAGAAGCGCCCCGCCCCTTCCCCCATGTCGCGCATGCCCACCGCCCCTATCAAGAGAAAGGCCAAGCCACAGAAACCGGCGGCACCGGCGCGACCTGCTGCAGCAGCATCGGCAGCAGCTGCCGCCGCACCCGCCGTGGCTGTTCCTCGGGGTGCTGCTGCTGCTGCTGGTGGTGGTGCTGGTGCGGGCCGTGGGGCGTTTCTGAGCGATTGGGAGTGGCCGCGTGTGGTGCGTGACCTCGGCCACTTTTGGATCATCTACAAGCCGCCCAACTGGATCTGCCAATACGACAGGGGCAGCTCATCACTCCACCTCTACTCGCTCGACGCCATGAGAAGGCGCGACTTCCACTTCAGGCGGGAGATTCACCTATGGGCGCAGCAGGAACTCGGTAACCACCACACTCGGACACACACACAGAACACACCAGCGGCCGGCCCTTTTTCCCTCCGGTCTTTTCACGGGTCTCTCTCTGTTTCTCTCTCTCGGCCTTCAGACGGCCTCGCTCACCCCATCCTCCTTCAGGCCAACGACGAGTGCCGGTGCGGATTCCTGCAGCGTTTAGACTATGAGACGTCCGGCCTCATCGTGGCGGCCAAGACGCACGCCGCCTTCACCGCCCTCAAGACCGAGCGCGACCGAGGCAGGGGCTTCACCAAGCTGTATACCTGCCTCCTCTCAGGCCTGCCGATGCTGCGGCTCAACCCCCACGACCACATCGGGCTGAACCGAGCGATTCGCTTCCGCAACGACCCGCCCTTCGCCACGCCACCCATCGGGACGATCGACTGGCAGCTGGTGGTGACCAAGAACCATAAGACGATTCAGGGACGGGGCATGTACAGCCACACAATCGCCAGAGCCCCGTGGGACGACGGGCAGCAGCAGCAGCTGGGCGAGACGGAGTCCTGGCTGCAGGCCGTCACCCACTACAGCCTTCAGAAGGTGGGTGGGCTGGTCGATGGGAGGGAGGGTGGTGGGTGGGGCTTGTTGTTGTGTTGTGCCGGTGCGTTACTGTCAGTGTGTCTGTCTCTCTGTCTGTCTTACGCCAGGTGTACAAGGAGCGGCATGGCGACAGGTTCTACGGGCTGCTAAATGTCAAAATCGACACGGGGCGCACACACCAGGTCAGCTTAGCTTGGTCGACACGGTCAACACACACACACAGAAGAGAGAGAGAGAGAGAGGCGGGGGAATGGACGCCTTGCTCGTGTCGTGTCGTGTCGTGTGGGGTGGGTGCAGATTCGGTCACACGTAGCGAACGCCCTGCAGTGCCCTTTGGTCCACGACACCAAGTACCGATACCACCAAGAAGACACAGACGACGAGAAGCACTGGTGCCCACGACTCTTCCTGCACGTGAGCACAACC